TAGAATTACTTATGTATGCCTTTTCTAGTAAAAAGGCACACATACAGACTATTGACGTGTTGTCATAGTGCCTCAGATAAACGCAATATTTGCTTTTTAATTGACAATCGAACAAGAATGAAGGCTAAGGCCCGTATTCACAAACGCTCCTTCACTCAAGGGCTCCCCTCAACTTGACGAAGTCAAGGTGGAGCGTGCTCCTCCACTCAAGGGGCCGCTGCGTTTCATGAACACTCCTCCACACTTCCTTTGCCAAGGGAGGCCTTGGAAATGCTCCCTTCACTTGAGTGAACTGCATGCGCCGAGAAAAGCGCCTGATAACGAGAGTATTCGCAATTGTGGTTAAGAATTGCCTATCTATGTACATTAAGGGAACGCCTTTTCTAGTTATTATTTTTTCTAAATTGACATTACAGCAAAATACGTGCATTTAGAGTGGTAGTGTTGTTTCCCTAAGCCTTGTGCTGATAGAGTTAGCAAAACCCTCCTTCAAGTCTGGCAACAGTCAAACCCAGGCAGCTGAACGAACAGCTGAAGACATTTCGTCTGCTGCTGAACGTGTCTAGCTGCTTAGTTTATTTTGTCTTGTATTGCAGTTTATATTTACGGTAATTGCGTGTAATTGCAGTTTATATTTACGGTAGTGTTTGCGTGTGTGTCGTTTGAGAGCCTACTTTTGCTGGGGTGACTAACGAACTACGTGAGTGATGACAGGAAGCGCAATGGATGGTTTGTTGCTTTGTTTACTTTCGCTTTACTGGGAGCCTTCTGATCACTAATGTAGCCACTGAATGTATAACGCGGTGGAATGACTATTTTTTACTATATATCACACTATGTTGGCGTGCTTTTAGCATTCGCCACCGCAATATGTATAATGATTACTCGTACGTAAGTTCGTTCTCGCTACGGGAGTATGTGCACAGCTCCTAATTTCAGGGGCCTGTGCAATGTTTATTTTTCTCATTTACTGCGAATTTTTCCGTGTCGCTTTCGTAGTTGTTCCTCTGCGTATAATAGGAAATGTGAAAGACGTTGCTCGCAACTGATATTCAAATTTATACCAGCGTAGCGTTAAAAACTAGGCATGTTATACTCGTGGCTGAGCGTTCGAAATAGACTGCTACGCAAGTTTAAAAAAGCGATCGTGTGCCGTTCTTTCACTATTGGCGAAAAATACATTTTAAAGTTGTTTTCTTCATTTAGTAACATATATAGTCGGTTAACAGGGACTGGTGTGTGTGTGTGTGTGTGTCAACTTTAACATTCTAAACTTCCAAGGAATAAGTTATGGTTTTTGCATTGTTTTTCTATTTGCCCTGCATTTGTGGATGCGTCTAATTTGACAGATTTGGTAGAAGTAACCTTTAAATTTGTGTAGCTTCCGTCTCCAAGTTCACACAGTGGCAACGTCTTAAATTTTTTTCCCGTCTCGTTCATCTGCATGCTCAGAAGCACAATCGTTAGTGCATAAATGACCATCGCACTAATGTTTTGGATTTTATTTGCAATATAACTACTGGAAATACTTGTTGAAAAGGATCGTGGTGTCTGTGCTGCATTCCAAAGCCCCGGCACAACATAAGTTATAGGGGATGTTTTATTTTTTTGGAAGTCATAAAATTGAAGCCGCGTCTGATTTTGTGCGCTGTTCTGTTTAAAAAAATATCCTGTGGGTTCTCTCAACCTTCGAGAAAGTGTCGTCAAGAGCAGCGTGTATTATTCTGCTGATTTATTGAAGACCAGTGCCACAAAGCGGTGAAAAATGCTCAAGGGTATTGCAGTCATCGCGGATACATCTGGTCAGAACCCTGTAAATAAAATATCCGCTATTGCTGCATCATTAGCAAGCCTACCAGTTAGAACCACGCCATCTCAGTTCCGTGGAAGAGGAATGGTGCTTCTTTATATAAAACATGTTTAATTTTCCTAGAATTGCTTTCCTTTAGAATCGAAGAAGTGGTTTTTTCAGTCCGGTCTCATCATGAAAAGACAAACACGACGATAATTATGTATTGATAAATGAACAAAACAGAAGTTGTGAATGGCAAATGGACCTTTATTACATGTGGCTGATAAGGAGCAACGTGGCAAACATTAGAATGCAAATGCAAAGTGTTCATAAATCAAACATATGCAGCCTACATACTGTAAAGATAAAGTACTAGCTCGGTGGACATCATAAATAAGTTTAAGGAAGTAGACACCATAGCGCACCTAATGCAGTGTAGCTGCACGCATTCACTGCTGTTTTTGTGCTTTTGTATACAGTCGTACAAACTCTGCAATGCATTGATAATACGGCAGATTCTAGGCGGCCTCTTCTCTGTGTTCTTCTGTCGGCAGCTGGTCCCCTGCACAAAAGAGGCAAGAAATAATATTAGAAAAACGTAATAGCTTGGATACAAAAGCCGCATTTTTTTAATTTTAGCAGTGTACACATTAGTATGTCTCGCGTTCAAGAACAGACATGGTTGAAGTATTGAGCTTTGACTATTTTGACACATGTTTGGCTCAGGCACTTGGGCAGCTGACCATGCATTTGGGTATATAATTTCATTATCTAATTGCGCGAATCAGTGCCATAGCCAGAAATTCTTCTTCGGGGGGTAGGCATGGGGTTAAATAAAAAAACAATCTCATTATGTATCTGCTGTATTTATATTTCATATGTTTGCGTTTTCATACGACACTCGACGCACTTTTGCGTGCATGCAGGTTTAACAGAGCATGATCATCTGCTTGATCCCCTAAATATGTACTTGGTTGTTCATTGGTATTGTGAGCTGCATAGACACTGTATAAAGAAGCTATGTTTCACGCGTAGTAGCTACAGCAGCACACTGATTGCGCCCAATGTATTATGTTGTGCTTTTCTTAAACTGTCTTTAATAGTAATCTGACCGAAGCAAGAAAAGGAGTTAAAAAAACACAGGAGAACTTACCTTCTCATTGGTATAGATGGTCGCCTAACGGAGGTGTGCTTCGTCGTAAATTTTGGCTAGGGCAGCAAAGGTTCACCGGAGAGGAAGCCACTCCGGTGAACCCAGCGCATCAAAAGTTTGATATGCTGCTTGCTTGTCAAGCTTTCGCACCACGCTTGAACTGATGCGGTGTGCGAGCTTCATCAAAACACTTCAAAGCACTGGAATCCGCAGTAAGTCATGAGCACTCGCACGAAGAGTATACGCACACCCGAAGGCAGGTAATCCACTGGCTCATGCACGGAACGCAACACATCACGGCACTGGTGAGTGCTCTTTTTGACACCACGCCTGCTTGTCCCGGCACCACAGTAGCTTTTGCTGAACCCTTCGAAGACAGCTCCGTAGTAAACGCGCACCGTTATTGTCGAAAGAACGCGGCGGTGGCAGCCTACTTGATCGAGAAACGCCGTCAAAGTGAGACGGGCTCCGCCATGGACGCAATGCTGGCGCAAATATTTCACTCGAGGGACTATTCAAGGTAGCTCGATCGCTTCCTTGACAATCTCGAGGAAACGCTCAAGATTGTTTCAAGTGAAGGAAGCGTTTCAAGTGAAGGGCGGTTTGTGAATGGGAAAACACCACTTAAGGAGCGTTTCGAGTGAAGGCTCGAGTGGAGGAGCGTCTGTGAATACGGGCCTAAATCTTGAGCAATATTGGTTGGCGCTGCGGATGGGGTCAGCGGTTTGGGTTATCATTAGATGCCGTGTAAACTTTTGGATATCGATAAGGGTGTCCAAACAAACAAAAGGACAGAGGGAGTAAAATTTTTCCGTTGAAGGTCCCCAAGAAAGACTACCGTCTTTAAAAAAGCCGCCCACACTCGCAACCCAGCTCGTCACGATACGCCAACGCGCGCTTATCTCCCACACGTACATTGCCCCGTTTATGGCAGTAATGTTCGGTGTTCGTGCGCGTGCACTTTTCCTTCGGTGGGGAGAATCCCTTGCCTTGGACTTTCACGGGAATGGTTGCATTAGCTACTTGAGCCAAAAAGCTGAACGTCGCTCGCTAGGCAGGCCCCGTTTGCGAAAGATGATGCTTTTCAAACACGGTGAAGTAACAACAGAGAGACTGATCAGTTCGCGCTCATATCTGTAACTGTGATAACGTTTCATGCGTAGTTTACGCTTCAACAGCGTGTTAAGCGTCGCGTTGTAAACGTTGTCAGTAAACTCGTCCTGTGTTTTTTTTTCTTTTTTGTGAGCAGCGCGTTGCACGTTTCAATCTGCTAGCCGTTCTCAACGTTACATTTCACGTTATTGCTATCGCATTCATTTCCAAACTAGCTATGAACTTAGCTGACATTTGAAACTAGCTGAAACTGACGTTTTTATCCCTGTAGGTTACTAATAGGGGACGCATTGGCGAAAGATTTGCTCCGGCATGTTTAGAAAGCAGAAATGCCCATACTTTTCTTGATAACAATATTTGAACGTCGGGGTTAAATACTGACCCTTCAAGGCAAATTACAGAAGGCGTTGATAATGGGTATGTCATAAATTCTTATTGAAATTTTGCATTTATAAAATAGTTCTCATAAAGCTGTCAGGTGAAGCTCAGTACACTAAAATACCAAGAAAATCTGCTTTGTTTCTAGATCGTCAATTTTACACAAACTCACACAATAGTCCTCGCCAGTTACTCTTGCATTGCAGGCTGCAGGGTTAAAAATTATGGTCCTTTTAGATATCATAAGGCTTGTACATAGTCATTTGTTTCAGTGCGCATTCGACGACGGCACGATTTCAGACATTAACGTCACTTAAAGGTGTATGAGAAAGGTCCCTAAATTTAACGTTCTAAGGAAAAATGCTACTCTGGCTGTGTCTTTTCTCTATGTATGTACGGGGCTGTGCATGTGGCACGGACCGAGTGAAATGCGTTAGGTCTTACTTGTTTAAATAGCTGTTTTCACCGTTTTAGAAATAAACAGTCCGATTGGTTTATTTGTAAATTCATTGACTGATTGATTGGCATGCAGTGCTTCAACCCCATATATTACTTTTTCTGCAGATATGCGAGACCAAAAAGAACGTGACTGATCTAAAATATAATATCGTCGCCGACGACATTCAGTTCGATGACATAGACAACTTGTGTGGCTATGGCAGCTACTACCGACTTCGTACTTTGAAGAGCTTGTGTGAATACCTGGCGGAGAACTACACTTCGCCCGATCGAGAAAGCGCCTGCAAATCGGTTATATAGCGCAATATTGGCCAATAAATTGTGGTTTATCTTGCATGAATCCTAATTTTTCATCACGTACAAGTACAAATATTAGAACAAGAATGCAAATATATTCATTTACTCGTCCTTGTTAACATTTACACGTGAAATACCAGGGATATGGTCATCGCTAGAGGAAGCATGAATCCCATACGAGTAAATGTGGTTTATGCCACGAACGCCTCTCAATGAACTTAGTAAGAGAAACTACTATGCTAGAAATTTGTATTTCAACGTACGATTGTAACAATGTTACATTGCCTTCTGACATGCACGTAACTACCCTGAATTCTGTCTAAACACATGAAAACTCTTTTTTCCTCTTCACCCCACTTCATTCCATCTTAACTACACAATTATATTGCAGCGTGAAATAAATTTTATCTGCGTGATACACATTTTGCACATGTCTCCATAACATTTATTGTACACTATGTGCGTGACAAATTTATATTATTATTGGTATAACTTTGTTCAAAAATAAATGTTGACTAACGCAAAAGGTAGCAACACATAACGTAGGCAATAAAAAGTATTTCTGAGGGACAGATAGCTGAGTACAAAATTGAAATTGGGTGTCCGCATGTACAAGTGATATGTCCTTTTGCAACATCAACATGCACCGCTTTTACTAAGCACAGTAGCTTTCATTAGAGGTGAAGGAGTTTGCATTTGGCGTGGCTTGTGCATTCCCGATGTCGTTGGGTGTAACCGCCGGTGGCACATACAAGAGAGAGCGGGTATGTGCCACGGGGAGTAGACAGGTATATGCCACAGGGGAAGGAAAGAGGCGATCGCGTGACCACAATTGGGATGAAAAGATGCGAGATGGTGGTACTTGTAGTGTTCACTACATGGACGGACGGACGCGCGGATGAACAGCCAGACAAGCTGATGGGCGGATGGATGGACGCGTGGACAGACGCACGAATGAACGAACAGTGAGATAGAAGCAAGGACAAACAGACGGACGGAAGTGTGGACGGACTAACGGACGCTTCGCCCCGCTCATCATCATTCACTTCGTGGCTATGCTTTGAATTTTTTTATAATGGCTACGAGAGCACAATGCATAAGTATTGTATTCGCCTAAGGAATACATTTAAACTTTACAGATTTTGCATCGCAAAAGCATCAAACATTCAAAAAAATTGCACTAATAGCAACAGAACTCGCCCATTCAAAATATCCAAGCGCATCGAGTGGGTACACACGCAAAAGTGTGCGCAGGGTCCCCCTTTTCGGGCGTTCGTGAAGTGTAACTGGGCCCCTCTTCTTATTCAAGCAATGTACAGGAACACGTTGGGCTATTTCTTTATTTGGAAACTAAGGAAGGCGGCCACAGACCCTCCCCCTGCCCTTTATGCACACTAGAATTCTGATGAAACGTTGCTGCCCATCGGAGCTAAAGGACGGCGAGGCGATGTTTTCGCTACGATTAAACCCAAACCAACAGTCGCTACCATCGATTCTACCATGAGCTGGAGACACCGAACAAATTAGAATTACTGCACGTTACACAGAATGATTCAATGTAAAAGAAGTACGTTCACTAAGTATATACGTGTAACACAAAAAAGTTGTTTAGGCCGACATGTTATGTTTGCTAGCTACACTAGAGAGCCAGGCATGAAGCAAACATATTTATAAGTAGTAGTGTTATAGCATGAAAACTTTAATAAACACATAAACCAGACACGACGGACCTTCATGTCTTGAAGGAAATATATGTGGTGAAGAGCGTAGTCTGTGTGGCAGGCTGGTGCCGCTATTCAAGGGCCCAACTGGCACAAGCCATCCGTTCAGCTCAGTAAATCAGTTGCAGCTGATCCACCAGGGCTGGAATAGACAGCAGCGCCCCTCATTCGCCCATTAGGCCATTTGTGGCGGGATGTTCTCCGTGCTGTGCACACATTCCCGCGTGATGTGAAAGAGTGTTGGGTGGCTTCTCATCACGGGCATATATCTCTGTACGCCATGGATTGAATCAGTTAGAAAGTGTGTCGATTTATATCAATGTTTGTCATCTAAGCGCAGTTGCCTCCGCCGCACTGAGCTTGCTGCGTGGACGTGGATATAGCTGCATATTTTTCATGTAGTACCTAACGGTCGTTGCGTTAGAAGGGCCCAGGACATTATAGTCCTCTGTTGCAGAGTTCGCAGTGACTCGGTGATTTGTAGTCTTGTGCCGCCTCGCCCACATGCAGGTTACTAGTCACGTCCTAATGACCCGGTGCCGAAGTCACAGTCTGTACATATTTTACTGTGGGGTCCCATCCTGTCCCAAGCAATACCCATAAGGTCTGTTTTTTTTATTTTGCCCTTGAAATAGTTTCTTCAAGTTTTTGAGAATCTGTAGAGATTGTTATTTGAGCGTTTCGCGTCCATCCCTTTTTCTTAGCGAGTGCTATGACGACCTCTTCTGCTCCTAATGTCGAGGTTTGATCTATTGAAGCGCAGGCTGTAATTTTTCATCTGTGGTCTGTGAATATACGCACAACTTTATTCGCATCGACATGGTAAGAAGGTGGCGTCAGTGAATTAGGCTGTTGTTGATATATTTTGTCATTTTGTTATTGTGTCCGGCCCTTGCTTTTTGTCGCCCAGTATTCAAAGTAGCATGCATGTTGCCTGGTATTTGCGACACGGTGTACCATTTTCTAATTTTGCCTGCTACCTCTTTAGTGTCTTGTTGTTCTTGTGCTAACGCACCGCACCCTAGTTTTGTAAAGACTGCTCCACCAGTTGGGGCCTGGAGAAGGCGATTTTCTTGCGATAGTAGTTGGGCCTCGCATACTCTTGCAATTGTGTCACGGAGACCAAGCACCAGTAGCTTGTCATTTGAAGTATTCCGAGGTAATCTAAGGGCTGTATTGTAGGTCATTCCTAATATTTGGTTAGTTTTCCTCTTTCTTCTCTGTCCATAATGAGATACGGAAGTGAGTATGTAACACTACTGATGACGAAATTTTTGACCAGCATGATGGTGTGGTGTTCTCTCGTGCCTTTACGGTTGTGTGTTATACGCGAGATCATGCCGGAGATGTGCTGTACCGATGTGTTGAGTTTGTTCAGTTTGTGCAGACGTCTCCGTTGACTTACAAGCCACATGCCTAGTATACGGATGCTTTCTTTCGCTGGAACGATATTTCCTTCTAGGCTGACTTTCAGCTTGATACTCGGGTCTTCTTCCGTGCTTTTTTCTTGCTGAAGCGATTGAGCTCCCACTTTCTGGCTTAGCATTAGGCCCCGTATTCATGTGTACTCTTCTATCATGATAGTTGCCTGATGTATCGTGTCTTCTTTCTCTGCTAGGCCGGTCTGTAGCTCTCCATACTGTGATGTCGTCTGCATATGTTGCATCTGGTAGACTTTTAATATCTTTGAATTTTCCTGCAAGGCCTTGTCATCGATACAGTTAGATAGTGTTGGTGAAAATACCTCCCCTTGCAGATGTTCCTTTGTTTGGAGTTCCAATCGTGTCACATTAGTAATCTCCCAGCTGGATTATTGCAGGCTTGTGAGTAAGGGATCTTTTTACATTCGAAATATTCACTCTTCACAGTTAACTTGCTCTACACCTTCATGTATTGCTTTGTGACTGTTGTTATACAAGGATCAATTTATATCAGTGGCCATCATGGTGTTCTCCAGCCATAGAGATGTTCATTATTGCTTGTTCTTTTAAAAATAGTATAATATTTTGCGGTAAAAGGTGTGAGCTAAATCTAAATATGGTGTCCGGCATGTGTCGATTCTTCCTGAGATGATTTAAAAGCCTGGTGTCGACCAGCTTTTCGAAGACTTTTTCTAAGCGGGACCTGAGCGAGCATGTACTCGATGGCAATTTATAGTTTTAAGCATCATGAACACAGCCGCATATTTTCGATCTCGTGGGACAGTTACTGCAAGCCAATGTTTATGTTTTTTATGAAAACTTCAATGGCTTTGTCATTTAGGTTCCTGATCATACCATTGGTACTAAATATGGTTGCTCTAATTTCAGAGTCCGTAGAAGGCTTGTCCGAATCTGGGTGCGGTGACCCTGTTACCTTCCTGTGTTTGAAGGGGTTCTGTATTCCCCAAAGCATTTTTCATGCATGGCTTGAATGAGGTCTTTATTTTTACCAAGGTATGAGTGCAGCAACTTTTCGTTGGGTTAACTGTTTTCACTTTTCGTCTCAGTGGGGACTAGTATGGCTTCCAGTATCTGTCATAATTTAGCCATACTCAGTGATCCGTCGAGTCAGTCGTAGAAATCAGTCCAACTTGTTTCAGCTAGTTGATTTCTCGAAATAATCGGCGCGTTGCGTGATATTTCTGATCACTTCCTTTATTTATGGTTAGGTTTCGGTATTTTTCATCGTTTTGTAAAAGTATCCTTGCTTCCGAATTATGCAATAGGTGTGAGTCAACCTCAGCGGCATTGCTTGTTCCCGTTATTTATTTACTGTACCTCTCTTTTTGACGCCCCATTTGGTCACACTATTCACTCAAGTTTGCTATATCTGAGAAAGTCAACCTTTCTTTCAGTGATTTTCTGAACGCATGCCAGTTATATATTTTCACTGCGTGAATCGTTTTACGTATCAGGTTCGTGTAATAGAGATGCATACTATGTAATGATCACTACCTACATCTGCTATTGTTGCTCCATTGCACAGTTTGGCAATTTTTGCACATCTTTAAATGCGAAGTCGTGTCTCTATAGTTACTGTTGCCTAGTTTATTTAGTAATACCGGATCCGCCAGGAGCGTCGTGCCTGTAATTTCTACTTGCTTGGCTATGTTCTTACATTTGACATCCTGAGTTACGTAATCCGTGCTTGAGTATTTTGCATAAATGTCGCCTACCAATACGAGCAAGTTATGCTTCGCTACCTTCGCTGCATATTTAATGAGTTTGTCGAAGGTTATTGTTGGAACTTTCGTCTTCATCAACCTAGCAGATGGCAATATTAATCATCGTCAGTGCTCCT